CCCATTTTAATGCTTGTAATAAAACTGTTCCTGTAATTAAGCACTTTCTATTTAAAAATTGGTGGATGCAGGCAGCTCCGATAACTAAATTATATATCACTGTATGTAACTACAGATCATCAGCCTTAAATTTGGTAAGCTTTGTATATACACAACAGGAACACTTTTATGTACTGAGATGTGTTGTTTGATTCCTTGTGCTGTTGGGTTTTTTTTTTACAGCATGAATTGTGCAATACTTCTGTAGGAATATAACGTTTATCATTTTAAGATGACCTCAGAACAGTGCTTTTGGGGACAGTGGGCATCGATATTGTGACAATCTAGTGATGTCCCATCTGGGCAGGCTTTGGGGCATGTTCCAGACCCAAGGGGCTGCCTTGCAAGTTGCAGGCAGTGTTCCAGTTAACCAAGTGGAGCTCAGTGATACCAGTAAGGAAGCAATGCCCAAGCTGTTAGTTAACTGTAATCTCATGAGCTTTTTAAAAGAAAACAACAAGCCCCAACTATTTGTATGGTTGTATTATGTGGCAGTTCAAAATTGTTGCCTAGTTTCTCATCCAAATATTTCATTTTATTCTTTTTTTCTTCCTTCCAAAAGGAGCCTAGTATGTACTTCTATAGAAAGATCTGCCCTCTTGAGAAACTGCATTAAGGCTGTCATATAGCTTCTTGCATGGCTAATTTCCAGCTCACCATTTAGCTTGACCTCAACAGCAATAATTAGATAAGCCTAATAGGAAAAGACTGTAAATTGACACAAGGTGAGAAAGCTTTCATGTCTGTTGCAGGGACCACCAGCCTGCTCCTTAAAGCAAGAAGTTTGGCTTAGCACTACAACAGTGTGGATGAGTCACATGGTTTTGCAAAGTGTATGCAGAGCAATTTTGGGGGCCATGGCTGCAGTGTTTGGGGGCACTGTGGTTGAATACAGCTGCAGCGTGACATGTAACAAAGCATTAGTTCTTAGCATAAGAAAGTTAGGTGGATAACATGTCACTCGGCATTAAAAGAAGTTCCACTCTGCAGTCACTGGCTGCTGAGTGGTGTTGATTTTCAGCTGCAGAGAGTTGCAGAGCGGAGGGCAGGGATGGGTAGAAAAGCAGCGGGTGTCAGGGTGGCAGAGTGCAGGAGGTACTGGCACTACTGTTGTGCCTCCTTGGCGTGGTGGCTTTCACAGCTCCACCAAATCAGTCACAAAAATCTACAGTCTGTGGGCTTTGTTACCACTACTGGCTGTGGTTCAGCATTGATAAAAATAAAATCGAATGTACACTGTGCACTCTGTAGGAGGATTCTTTTAGTGCCAACGGAAGCATTGTCTGTTCTTATTTGAAGAAATGCAGCATTTGCTACGAAGGATCAAAAATAGAATTTTCCTAAATTACAGAAAAGAAAAAAGAAATTATCAACAGTGATGCCATTTGGTTTATCTTAAAATTATGTGGAACACATTGTCAAAATGTCGTCTTGCCCCAAACGTCTTTGACAGTATGCCTTCTAAGAATAGTGTTGGTTCTTTTTGAGAGGATTAAGTGTCACTTTATTGAAAGCAGTTAGGCCAGTGTCTCGTTAGCAGTGTTGGCTACCCTTAGTGAAAATGAGCTTACTGCAATTATTGCTGTACAATGAGCAGATGACAACAGCAATAATGAGATGGGTGGCTCTTTGTTTTTCTCAGAAGTAATTTAAAGGATTTCCACACCCATTTTTGAGTTGTGCTTTAGGAGAAGTTGTGGGGAGAGCTCAGCAGGTTCCGTCCATGGCTCCTGGATGTTTGTTCCAAAGCTGCTGGATCTGGCTGCCATGTGCAGTCCCTGGAGATGCATCCTGCTGACAGAGCTGACCACAGCACACCAGCAGCCCTGGAGCAGCAGGACTGCAGCTGCTCACCTGGCTGGGGCAGGGTGATGGGCACGTCTGTGCTCAGTGGATGTCCTGGTTAGATGCTCACTGTATTGCTCTGAGCTTCGTTAGGAGATCTTCAGCAGCTTGCTTGCTATGGAAAGGAATGCCGAATTAGTTGGACGTAGCTGCTGTGGTACTGTAAAACAGGTTTTGGATTTATCACTAACAACGTTCAGAAGAAACCCATGGTAGAGTAGAAGGGGGAGCAAAAGAAGATAGCTCTGTGTTTGCTTTGGAGTGCCAGACACTGATGTGGAGGACAGTGGATGCAGAACTGCCTGGAGTAGGTGATGCAGGGCCTCCCACAGAGGTCTTTGGTCACCTTGTCCTTAGCACACATCTATGCCTTGGGTTTCCTGGGCGGTTTCTGAGTGTGCTGATAGTGCCTGTGTCAAGAAAGCCTTGCATCTCTGTTTGGAGAAAGTTAAGCTTGGAGGCATTTATCTTGGGTTTGGAGGTGGCAAAAGGAGGATGACAGTTCACTGAAAAAATGAGAAGACAGAGGCAGCATTCTCGTTCTCTCTGTTCCTCTCGAGTGGTGAGGATTGTTGAAGTGCCACAACGCATTCCAACCTGTTTGAAATTGGGGATGATTGTTATTTCAAACTACCATGACTGAAAGTAACTAGGTTTATTTAATCAACAAAAAATGTTTTCTCAATCATGAACGGTGTGGTAGTGAGAGCTGTTCTGCAGTGCCTTGGCAATAGCTGCTCCGCATGGAGGAGCAGGAACGGCTTCTTCAGGTGTCAGGGCAGAACAGATGATTGCACAGAGTGCAGAGTTTTAATGTCATTGTTTGTGGGAAAATGTGCAAATATGAGTTAATGTTAAAACCTCACAGACACACCTCCCAACAAATAAACCTGTTCCTGAGTGGATGGGCCATCGGACCGTGACCCCATCCTACCGAACTGTTGAGGTATTATTCTTCATAGATGATAAATTTATGAGCCAGTAAGTCACTCCTCATTGCTTTCCAATCTAGACCTCCACAGATCTCTGCTGTTTATACTGTGAAAAACTCCAGCACTCCGCACTGTAGATTGCATTAAGCTGAAGCCAGCGTTGTTTTTTCTCAATGCATAGTTAATCAGCAACTGGTTATTTCCCAGTCCTCTTCCTGCAGGTGCATTGCCTAGGCACTCAAGGTTCCCTTGGACAGCTGAGAACTACGCAATAGCAAGGGTTTTCTCACAGCAGAGTAACAATGAGAGGGATATGGATGAGAAGTACAACAGGGCTACCTTGAAGGGGTGCTGTGCAGGGCTGCTGCTTTGGGCTTTCCTTCATGCAGAGATGGCACTTCTCTTGGGTAGCAATTAATCATAGAGTCATAGAACAGTTGGGTTGGAAGGGACCTCAAGGATCATGAAGCTCCATCCCCCTTGCTGGGCCACCAACCTCCATATCTAATACTAGACCAGGCTGCGCAGGGCCCCATCCAACCTGGCCTTGAACACCTCCAGGGTTCTGTTGTGCTGGGTTTCCTGCCCTGTACAGCAGTGCCCTGTAGCACCCCAGGGCTGGGGAGCCTCAAACATCAGAGCAAAGAGGCTGCCCAGCTTCTGCATGCCTTTGGCTCTGGACTAGAAGAGCATCCTGGATGTGCTGTACATTAAAGTAGCTGCTGTAATGCAGCTTGCTGCTATTCTCTTGTTTTTTTTTTCTTTCCCCAGTGTTCACTATGTACACAAGATGCTGAACATTCTCAGCCCTTTGTTAAAACACTCAGTTTTGAGATAGACTTTGTGAGGTCACTTCATCCCTTCCCTGACACTGCTGTAGCAGAAATGTTGATGCATTTGTTTAATGATTTGCCTGCCACTTCTGACAGATGGCTGTTTAGTCTCATGCATCTGCTATGTTGGAGCATCTGCAACTTTTCTTGACATCTTGCTAAGTTGTTTTGCTGTTCTTTTCTGCAGTTTATTCTGGGCATTGTTTGCGTAGTTGAATCAGAGTTACTGTTTGTTTCTTCATCGGTGCTTCATCATATCACTGTTTCTGTTCACTTTGCGTAGCTTGCCTTGTGCTTGAAGACTGATGGCACTGTATCACCTCAGCTGGGTTGGAATGAGGATGGGAGAGGGGAGGTGGCACCTCCAGGCCATTGATCCCAGCTTTATAACTTTGCCCTTTTAGCTGGGAACAGATTACGTGCGCGGCGATACGAGATGCGCAGGCAGAATCTGAAGGACCAGACTTTGCATAAACCATTTGTACTGAACGTTCAGAATGCTGGCAACATAAATCAACAACAATATCTATTACAAATTCATCACTTTACCTGTATTATCTTTGATAGAACTGGTCCGGGCACGTGGGGAAGTGAACCACATCTGAGGAAGTTTAGCCCTGCTGTAAATTAATTATTCGGGACACACAGAGCCTGGCCCCTTCAATGTATAGTAATTCTTTCCAGCCAGCATCCTGGACTTTAACTTCAGTGGTGATAATAAATAGGAAAAGTCTCAGGTGAAGCCCGTGTTTTAAAGTAATTAATCATCTTCCCCTCATGGTCCCCCGCCTCTCTCTTGGTTTTCTTTAACGAGGGAATTTCGGTAATAAATCTTTAATGATATGTGTTAAGAATCCTTCATTAATTCTTGTCTGCTTATTTCTTCTTCTGATGATTTCATGCTGTATGTTGGGAAGCTAAAATACCTGTTGAAATGATAACACAAAAGAAAGTTACAGGAAACTTTTAATTTAGGGCAGCCTGAAAGATTTGTTGGGTTTTGCACGTGGCGCGGCACAGCCAAGCAGGCGTCGGTGGCGGGCTGCGGCGGCACTGCTCAACTGCGCTTCGCCAGAGCAGAGCAGGAGGCTCCCACGTTGGAGCAGCAGCACTCTGTGGGGCGGCTGAGCCCATCGCCCTCGGCCCCGCACCGGCGAGGGGTGCGGGGTGGCAGCACGGCGGGGGCCGTGCAGAGGCCGTGTCTTTTAAATAGCGACGTTGGGCGCGAGCAGCCATCACGGCTATCGGATGTGACAGGGACAGCTGAGACAGATGGGTTCTGACACGCTTCCATACTGCGCGGCCGTGGCTGGAGGTGACTCACATCCTTCCCTCTCCCTTCCCGCTGCAGGACAGCACAACGACGCGCGGATGAACCTCGCCATCGCCCTCACCGCTGCCAGGTACGGCGCTGCCACCGCCAATTACACTGAAGTGCTGCGCCTGCTGAAGAGGACGGAGCCGGGCAGCGGCAAGCAGCGCGTGTGCGGGGCACGCTGCAGGGACGTCCTCACAGGTGTGTGCCACGGCCCGCGCTGTGCTGGGAGGTGGAGGTGGGAGCGGGAAGCGCTAATGTCAATATCGATGAGCTGACAAAGGAGCCATCTTCCCAGAGCGCATGGCACAGCAGTGGTGTCAATCATCTGTAACTCATGTCCGACCTTTCCCTCGGATCGCGGTGTTCTGGCAGGGTGGGCTGAGCCTTACCTCCAAGCCCTCCTGTCGAGCAGAGGTGCTGTTGTAAAATGCTGTGTGCCATACGATAATAATACCACTCACCAGCCGAGTCCTCCTCTTTGAGAGGTGCAGCTCAGCTCGCTCCTCCCCTACCTCCTGCCCTGCCTCCACAAGCAGCGCAGAACTTTCTGCAAAGTGCTTCCTCTGAAGTCTGGCTTTAAATGCAAACTTGGTTAATTTTTGAGAGCGGTTCCAGCCGCCCCCTTCAGACGAGCAGGATGCGCCTTACAGTAGGTTAGGTTCACAGATTAATAACGCTGAGTGTCAGCGAGCAGGGAAACAAATGGGGCCCGTGATTGATGCTGTTTTCTTTCACAGGGCAGGAATTTGATGTCAAAGCCAAATGTGTTATCAATGCTACAGGACCTTTCACCGACTCAGTGCGCAAAATGGATGATCAGGAAGTACCCAACATCTGTCAGCCCAGCGCGGGCGTGCACATCGTGATGCCGGGTTATTACAGGTAACCATATTCCAAACCCAGACCATTTGTAACAATCTCTGCTGGCGGCTGTCGCAAATAAGCTTGCAGGGATGCGGCCGTGGTTTTTATGGTAGCTTTGAATGCACGCTTGATGATTTTGTAATTATTATTCTTCATTTAGAAGGTTCTGGTACTGTGCGTGTTAAAACACCAGCTTTATCTAGGTGGAGAAGAGTGAAGCCTTGTGGCTTGTAGGTGAGGCTTAGCAGGGCAGAACTGCTGAAGCAGAAGGGCCTTCAGGCAGGGACTGCTGTAAGGTGCCTCTCCTGTAAGGGGTGAGTTGGGCCTGTTGGCTGTTTCTTCACCCCGTTAAGAGAACAGGAAATGTAGAAAACCTTCCTGAGAGCTTCCTGCCTTCTTAGAAAGCTTACTGTCTTACAAAATAGCATACTGTCTAGGCAACCATCTGCCATTACGCTCTGCCCCTGGTATTAGTATGGATAGACTCCACTGGTGTTAGGAATGCAGCATGTACACAGTGTAGCATGTCGTTCAGAATGCCATTAAATGCTGATGGTTGCTGATGGCAGGTGTCCACCCACCCTTGCTGGTTCAGGTGAAGGGGACCATTCTACCTGTGCTGAGCTCACCACAGGCTCCTGGGCCCTCTGCAAGCACTTGCTCTGCAGACTTATTCCTGCTTCTCTCCTTGTTTGTTGCTGCCAAACCAAATCCCCTTCTAACACATGTAAGCCGTTTCAGTTGAAGCTCAAATATTACCTTTGGTTCCTGAAGTCATTAGCATCCTAATGGAAATTCACATTTATAACTTATACCGGTTCTGTTGATACAGTGCATATACAATAATGCCTTCCATATGACTGTTGCAATCCTCTGTGAATATCAATCTAGACTTTAGTGCACAAAGTGTTGTTGCCTGAGCTGTCCCAACAGGACATGACCAGAGACTATAAAATTGAGGCATCTCTGGCCTAGTGGAAAATCACTTTTGCAGTCTCTGTTTTTTGTGTGTCTTCCCCCCCATGACAATCAGGAAGTGACTTGACAGCTGCTTTAAAGCAACAGCAAAGAGGATAAAAGCTTTGTAATCCTAAGTTGTTCACATACAGTGGTGCACAACTGCATGGTTTTGGTGTCGGGCCACCAAGTCAGCTGTTTGGCTTGGAATCACTTTGTAGACTCCAAGATGAAGATGGCTTGATGCACATGAGGGCTCTAATTACGTGTTTTGTAAATACCTAATAATTGTCACCGCTAATGTGGAGAAAAATTCTCCTCCTTGTTCCCCTGTGTGTGTCAGCGTGTGGGCATTGCTTTTCTTGTAAAATACTGTCTGCCCACATGCTGCCTCTGCAGTGCAGCTGATGAAATAAAACCGATTTCCGTTCAGTGGGGAAGCCTGATCCAAGGAACTGCATGGAAATACTCGTGGTATTTAACCTCAGTTGTATGGAGTCTTTATTCCTGATTCCAAGTGGATGGATATTCCTTACTAATAAGGCTTATTTAATTGCATCTGCTTGCCTTTGTAAAATTTGTGTGAGTTTGGGCCAAAATTCTATAAAAGAAAATTTCATTTCTAGACACAGCTAAGATTTTGTAAAACTAACGTTAATGTAATGCGTTCACTTCCCATGGGATTCTTGCTCATTTGTGTTCTTCATTAATAGTCCCAGTATTCCTCCTCTCATTAATTCTATTTTTAGTATACATATCTGCTCTAGTAGCTGCAATAACTCTTTCACTCTCTATTGTTTAAACATAATATCTGCAAAAAGAGAGAGCATTCTGGCCACCTTTGTTCTGATTAGCACGTCTCAGGCAGGAAGCCTATGTGTGCAATACTAACTTCCACTCAACGAATTTCAGGTAATTTTCAGTCCTCTTAGATTTTCCTATCCTTTCCATGTTTCAGGTTCCAGTTATATTTGAATTACAGAATGGTTTGAGCTGGAAGGGACCCTTAAAGGCAGTCTGGTCCCACTCCCAGCAATGCACAGGGACAGCCACAGCTCCATCAGTGCTCAGAGCCCAGCCCTGACCGTGTGTGTCTGCAGGGATGGGGCACTGCCACCTGTCTGGGCACCCTGTGCAATGCCTCACTGCCCTTAGCGTGAATATCTTCCTTGTATCCCCTCTGTTAAACCTCAGCTCTGCTTTCGTGGAAGTCACCTGTTTTCTATTTAATTGCACGTATGGGGTTTCCATAGGAATCTTCCACGTTTCTGATCTAACATCTAGAATGAATAACCTACTGACTTCAAGCTCAAGAGTTCAGATCTGTCTTTCAAACGAAGTTTTGTTTAATTTGGTAGTCTGTAGCTCATATTCTCACATCTTATTTGTACTTCAGTAAGCACTGTTCAGGTTCTTTCCTCATTTGTGATCTGCTCTACGCACTGTTCAGTACAGCTGTGCTGCTGTGTCTGAGGCAGAAGCATGCTGAGGAGCAGACACGCTCCAAGCACTGGTTTAAGTCAGCTGTTGCTGTGTCATCAGCTCCCAGAGGGGTGGCTGTCCTGGTGTTTGTTCTGCCAGCAGGCACTTCTGATCCGTCTGTATTAGACTCCTAGGCTCTGTCTATTTGCCACTATATTTCTGTCTCCTGTTAGAGTTTACAAATCCTAATCTTACCCGTTTTAGTGATCTTGAAGGATCACCAGAGAAACGTGCTGGTGGGTGGTAGCACTGTACTGCATGGTCACACCAATTCCACCGCCATCAGAATCTGTGTGGTAAAGCCACAGACTTCCAGCAGTGCTCCAGTTCAGCTGGCAGCACGCTGCTTGTTGATGGATGTTTTAATTTTTTTGGTTGCTCTGCAGTTACTTCTATAAGACAGAAGAAACAGAGCAAAGGGAGACTGAGAAGAACTTCCCAGGACAGCTGGTGGTCATTAAGTCAGTAAATTAATTGACATACAGAAGGCTTCTTCATCCCTTCTCATCTCTTGCTGTCGCCCTCTCGTAGTACTTCAGTCTGTAGGGGTTACAGTGAAGCTTCGTTTGAATTCTTTACTCATTTCTCTTTCACAGCTTTTTACTTAAATCGTGTTAAAAAATATATTATTCTTTTGAGAATGTCTGAAGTTATCTGAATATTCTGATACTGTATATTAAATCTCTCGTTTCCTGTCTCTGAATCAATAGCTTTTTCATTTTAAAAAGTAATCATTTGGCTGACGTGATTTACCTTTCACAAATCTGTGTTGACTTCCCCTATTAAATTGTACTTTTCCAACTGTATGCTTAAGCTGTCTATAAATATCATCTAAAAAATGTTCTAATATACATGCTATATATGAAATTTTCAGCTGCTCCTAGCCTTTCCAGATATTGCAAACTTACCCTCAGCAATCAGTTTGGACTTCCTAAAAATGAAATATTCAGTGTTTCAGCTTTTTAAATAGGTAATTCTATCCAACCTCCAGTCTTTGTCTCCCTTCAGCTTGTTGTGTTAGTAGTTACCTCGGTCTGTTGAGTTATCCCCTCTGCTGATCCTTCCTGTATCCTCCTTCCAGTACCAGCAATAGGTGCAAAACCTGGAGACTGCTAAACTGCCTGCAGATGACTGTACGAAGACTTCCAGTCCCTAATAGCAAAGTCAGTGTCTTTCCTTTCAATACAAGTTAATAGAAAAAGGGGCAGCTTGAATCTTCTCCCATATAACAACTACTTACATCAAAGGACTTGTAGGTGCCTCGTTTCCTGAAATAGAAGCAGTGCTGTTTAGTGAGTGATTAAGACAACTTTTTCTTTTGTACACGTGGATATTTTTACTACTATTTTTTTAGTATTATTTACCAGAAAACCTTGATAAATAGTTAAAACTTCATGTGCAAAGAGCTATCATCTTTCTCTTTCCTGAATCATTCTATAGCACTGGCACAAATGAATGAAGGTGATTAATCATTATGGGGGTGTATCTTCTGCCATTTCCCCTCCAAAGATGGTTCCTAGTTCAGAAAAGCTGCTGGAAGCATTTGGAATATATTTCTGGTCTGAATCCCTTGACAGTCTGGGCTTCAGTTCCTGTTCTTATGGCAGGTGCTTACTGAATTCAGGCTGTAGGGTCCTTGGAAGTTTCCTGTTTTAATGTACTCATAACGCTAATGATTTCAGTGTTTCTGCTCTCCTTTTTTCTACTTCTTGTTCCTACCTTTGCCTTCTCCCTCCTACCCACCTTAGTTTTGAATAAGGTTGCAGAAGCCATTGGGTTTCTTACCTGCTCCTTAAGTAAGTGACATCAGTTACCTGATAAATGGGGTTACTAATGTTTGGTCTGAATTTTTTCCTCCTACTAGACACATTACAGACAAACCAGAGTTCTGTTTTTTTCCACAGCAGCCTGTGCACTGTTTGAGCCTCCACTGTTCTTTGTGACACTAAGTTATTGTCTGTTTCTTAATACTAGAAGTAGTTGTTCATTCCACAATAGGGGATTCCAGTGAATGCTGTTTTAAATTTCAAATCCTTATATTTGAAATTCCAGTGACTGGAGGAGGGAGGTGCCAGGGACCTGGTTGCTTTCACTAAGGATGTGTCCTGCTGTCTGATGTAGGAAGTCACATTCTGGGAATCACATTTAAAGGCCTTAGCTCCAGAAGTTTTGAGAAATACATTTTAAGGTTGGGTTCACAGAATCACAGAATGGCCAGGGTTGGAAGGGACCTCCAGGATCGTGAATGTCCAACCCCCCTGCCACAATGCAGGGCCACCAACCTCCTCATTTAATTCTAGACCAGGCTGCCCAAGGCCCCATCCAACCTGGCCTTGAACACCTCCAGGGACGGGGCATCCACAACCTCTCTGGGCAGCTGTTCCAGTACCTCTGTAAAGAATTTCCCCCTGACATCCAACCTAAATCTCCCCTCCTTCAACTTAAAACCATTTCCCTTCATCTTGCAGTTATCAACCCTTTCAAAGAGTTGATTTCCCTCCCCTCTGTAGGCTCCCTTTAGGTATTGAAATGCTGCAATGAGGTCACCCTGCAGCCTTCTCTTCTCCAGGCTACTTCTATATGTGAAATATATTTCTATACGTGAGAAAATTTAACAATACTGGAGCAGGAATTGATACACTCTTGGTAACTTGGTTGTGGTGATCTCTCTTGGCACAGCAGCAATGCTGATGTAATAGTTGAACATGTACAAGGACAGATCCTGGCGATGCCTGATCTGCTCTGAATCACATCCCTTCTTTTTCAGCCCTGATAACATGGGTCTGCTCGACCCAGCCACCAGCGACGGCAGAGTGATTTTCTTCCTGCCTTGGGAGAAGATGACTATTGCAGGGACCACAGACAGCCCCACCGATGTCACCTCCCATCCCATACCGACAGAAGAAGATATCAACTTCATTCTGAGTGAAGTGCGCAACTACCTTAGTGTTGATGTTGAAGGTAGGAGTGTCAGTTGTTGCTGGGAGGGATAACTACAATATTTCAGTCTGAATACATGCTGTCTGTCTCAAGTTTCTCCAGTGATTGATAGCTGTGTTCTTGCCCCTCTAATGCTTGTGAGCTGTAAGCGTCATCTCGATCCGTTTCAGAGCAATCACTGATGCTTTTCCAGATATACTCTCTCTTCTTGGGCTATTTATATGGAAATCAGTTGATATCTGAACATGCAGATTTCACGTACCTCTCATCCAACAGGCAGCAGCTGTCAGATGACTCATTCTGGCCTTTTTGAGTGGCAGATGCAAAGTTTGGCTGAAGTGGGTCGGCTGGTTGTATGTCCATACGGGTGCATTGTAGAATTCCTCTGCTTGATTGTAGGAAGAGTTCTTCTTTTTTCCTCTGTCTTCCATTTTTTCAGATGCTTTCTTAATTACATTTATTGGTGTGGTAAATACCTAATAGTTCAGCTCTTGCTTGAAGAGGGAAATATAACGGGCAGAAAGGGGAATTCGTCAGAATCACTTGGTGATCGTTGAGCTCAGTAATTGAGCTGAGAACACCTTTGTTGGAAGGTGCTGGCTTGTTTGGCCTTAGTGCTAGTTTAAAGGTGAGAGGTTTCCTTACTTTGTAGTCAGATTTACTGTTTTGTTGTTTTTTTAATGGTTACGTGAAAGCACCTGTGCTCCTGTTGTAGTAGTGCTAAAAGACATCTGAAAACCACTGTTTGTCGGGAACGCTGCAATCTCTGGGATTTAGGAAACCTGCTGTCCAGCAGTTGGAAAAATTAGATTACCAGATTCCTGAAATGAGCAGGTTGGTGGCTGTCTTGTACAGCTTTGGGACAAACTGCCTTGAGGAAATGTACCCTTACTTTTCTGGTGCAGAAGCCAATACAAGTCGGCATGGTGGGACAGGCAGGTAGCTGGTGGTGTTCAGAATAAGGCAGAAATCTTGCAAGGTATTTCACACAAGTGCATTATGAAGTGTTCAATTCTTTTGAATGAAACCAACCTAGGTGTGCATACTGTTTCTCACATGGCAATTAGCAGTGTTTATAGATTGCCTGTTACTGAATTAACAACTGTGCTGGCCATATCAACTCACTGCAGACCTGCCTTTTTGCTGCCAGAGACAGTGCCAGGGTTATCAACTTACACAGGCTTGGATGTGTTCCAACTGTTTAATTATAGTGTCACGCATGCTGCTTTTTCTAGTTTCATTAGTTTATAAATGTAATATGGTATCTTATTTCTGTGATTAACACTTCATTTTGGCAGGTTAAACATGCTGGCAGAGCACCATTGATTTCTGAAATCTATTTTGTGTTCTTTGGGGATATTTTTACACCGTTACCGATTTTTAAGTTATCAGTTATTTGAAAGCTGCATCAGAAATTGTTTCGGGGCTTCAGTGTAAAGTGGTCAATTTTTACTATTGTAAATTTAGCAAGCAGCAAAATTAATCTCATGAGATTATTGGTTTCATGTTTTATATATTCCTGAAGAAAGTCCCGTTCAGAGGCTAGGGTTTTTTCCTGCAACTGTTAAGGACCTCTTTTTACTACTTGTTGCCTTCAGATTTTATTCTTTCACATTCAGTGGAAGGCCAGGATTGGCTGTTGGGATGCAGTAACTGCCAGGGAGCAGAGGAGTAGCATGGGGGCATGTAAATGGCCATTGAGTTGGGCTTCTTGTGAAGTGGGAAAATGCTTCTGAAGCCGGTATGGTTGGGAAGGCAGGAGGAGGTGGCTAAGAACAGTGTGGGCTTCTGGATGATCTGTGACAGATCACCTGGGCCCTCTGGGGTTGCTGTGCAAATGCTGGGGGCCTGGGGGAGCAACAGGCCTAGGAGATGTGCTATAGCCTAGCAGGTGCAGGTGTGCCATCAGGCTTCTGACGGAGGCTGTGAATGAAGATCACTTATTTTTTCCAGATTCTCCTCTTGACAAATTCCACACTATACTAAAAGCTTTCAAGTCCTAAAAGCAAACATTGTAGGAACAGATTTTATTTTGGTTTCTGACGTGCTGTGTGAGGACTGTCCTGTCCACAGAAGCAAGGAGGGATAAGACTTGGTGCTGCACTGGGTGCTGTTTATGGTGGGATTTCTGTTTTGGAGTGAGGGTTTTCTGAGCTGATCGGTGACTCTGATAGCTGAGTCTCGTGGTGGATCAGTTCCCAGAATCTCTCTCTTCTGTTGGATTCTTAACCAGTGTGACAGACAGGTCTGTCTGTGTTTGGCTTTGTTTTGGTCAGACGACAAGAGAAGGGCAGTGCCATTTTTCATGCTGCTTGGAGGTAACGCCACAGAGACTGTAAGATGGATAGGAAATGAATACACATACAAAGTTCCTGACTAATTTTGGTTGACTTTTTCTTCTGGACAGTGAGAAGAGGTGACGTGTTGGCAGCCTGGAGTGGCATTCGTCCTCTGGTCACTGACCCCAACTCCAAAGACACGCAGTCGATCTGCCGGAACCACGTTGTTGCTGTCAGTGACAGTGGCCTCGTCACCATAGCAGGTAGGGGAGGTTCATTTCAGCTGTTGTTTTTGTTGGGCTTCCCTGGTGCATTTTGTGCAAACATCTTTCTTCTCGCAGGGTGACACCTTGCATTCCTGCAGTTAGGTAGTGGTCTGTCTGTAGCAGTGTGACTGGCTTGTTAGAACAACTCTAGTAAGAGTAATATGATAAAATACATGGCGTGTACCAACTTCATGTTTCCCTTGCTTTTCCCAAATAAAGAAGTACGTGTGTGCTTATAGGTGGGAAGTGGACAACGTACCGTGCCATGGCTCAGGATACCATTGATGCTGCTATTCAGGCACACAACCTGCCTGCGGGTTCCAGTAAGACCATTGGGCTGCTGCTCCAAGGGGCTGAGGACTGGAGCCCCACGCTGTACATTAGGTTGGTCCAGGACTATGGACTTGAGAGCGAGGTGAGCCATTGTTACTGTTCATGTGCTGATATTTCTGTGTTAGAGGGTTTTGTTCTTTCCCTAAAGACAATATTTTCCTAATGTCTTAACTGTTTTCTGCTTTAAAATGTTATGAGATGCTAGAGCGTTCCTTTCCTTGGGGACAGACCTGTGCTACTCTCTGATCACATCTGAGGTAGAAGAGTTGAAGCACCACAGTCATTTATTTGGATACTTACATAGCAGCATACAGAATCACAGAATGGCCAGAATTGGGAGGGACCTCAAGGATCGTGAATCTCCATCCCTCCTGCCACATGCTGGGCCACCAACCTCATTAGCATAGGTCTAACTCATTCACAGGGCTAGCAGTTTCCTCTCACACCATCAGAACCTGATACCTTCTTCAGCATCTTTGTTATTAGTGATGAGAGAACTGACAATAAAAAATGCATATATTTGATGTGCTTTCAAATGCGTACTGAACTTGTTTTCAACTCCATAGGTGGCTCAACATCTGGCTTCTACATATGGTGACAAGGCTTTCGAGGTGGCCAAAATAGCCCAAGTTACAGGAAAGAGATGGCCTATTGTTGGAAAACGTCTTGTGTCTGAATTTCCTTATATTGAAGCTGAGGTATGTGGAAAAACTACATCACACTTGTGTGCTACTTGGGAATGAAGCAGATTCTAGAGCAGGTCCATCTCGCTCTGAAAAATACCTTCAGAAGCCCTTTGAGATTCAGATGTTTTTGTTTTCATTTTTCCACTTCACCTGATCGTGCTTAATGTTTTTATATAGAACCATTGAATCACCAAGGTGAAAAGTCCTCCAAGGTCATCCAGTCCAACTGCCCACCTACCACCAGCATTTCCCACTAAACCACATCCCTTTGTACCACATCCAGACACTTCTTGAAGTGCCTCCCTGGGCAGCCCATTCCAGCACCTGAACACTCTTTCAGAGAAGAATTTTTTTCTAATATCCAACGTGAAATGAATGTTTTACTACAAATATATAATATAACATGAAATATATCTAATATGGACTCATCTACATTTTTTCCTTGTCTCATTCCTTGAGGTCATCTATGGTGTGAAGGAGTATGCCCGCACTGCTGTGGATATCATTTCCCGGCGGACTCGCTTGGCCTTCCTGAATGTGCAGGCTGCTGAGGAAGCTCTGCCAAGGATCGTAGACATAATGGGGAAAGAACTTAACTGGAACGAGCAGAAAAAAAAGGTACAAAGGGCCTTTTTCATCTGGAATTGTTTTGTTTTTCTTAAGTAGTTTCCATCTTAACAAATGAAATTAATTTGAATGGAAAACATCAGTGATGCTTGCTTCCTGAGAGAATGGGTACATTTGATGTATTTGGTTTTGAAGTCTTCTTCAAAATAGCTGTGAAATGAATTGGTATTGGCCAGGTGGAGGGAAGAGTGAAGGCATTCCTTAACTTTAAAAATGAGGCAAACTTGGCATTACAATCCTACTTCTAGTGAGCATTTAGTTCAGTGTCACTTCTTACAGGTCTGTCTCAGAAGAGAAGGATTTTGCAGTCTGTATCGCTCCTTTTTCATGAATCATGGAATGGTTTGGGTTGGAAGGACCTTTAAGATCATCTTGTTCCAACCCCCTGCTACAGGCAGGGACACCTCCCTATAGACCAGGTTGCTCACAGCCCCATCCAGCCTGGCCTTGAGTGCTCACTGGGCAAGCTGTGGAAGTTTTGAACTCTATATCATCACTTTTCATTAACTTCTTTTATTTTCTAAATTATTTTGAAGGTCCCCGTTTGCTTCCTCTGCCCTTGTGGTCAGTGCTCATACATACAGTGTAATCCTAAAAGCATTTACACAGCAATTAGAAGCCTTTGCTAGGCTTGATATCCCTTTTCAAGATGAAAAGGTGCCAAAGTTGAACTTTTTAATACTTTTCAGCTACTGTCTGCTCAATTTTTGGACCTTAGGTGAATTCTTGTGAAGTGGAAGGAGCAAATAAGTTGTGTAAGGAAGAACTTGTTCTTCCTCAGATACAAGAAGGCTTTTCTTTTTGGTTGTAGGAAGAACTTGAAGCTGCAAGAAAATTTCTGTATTATGAAATGGGCTACAAAGTAAAATCTGACCAATTAACAGACAGCTCTGAAATCACTCTAGTGCCTTCAGATATTGAAAGGTAAGTGAAATAAGAGATTCCTGAGTTGCTGGGAGTTAACAACATCGAGTGTCATTTTTCTCCACTGAAAATCCTTATTTTGCAGGTACAAGAAGCGATTCCACATGTTTGACAAGGACAAGAAGGGCTTTATTACTATACTGGATGTGCAGCGTGTCTTGGAGGTAAAGTTTCCTTCTGCTTTTTTTTTTTAATTGCAATGTGGCATAAGTAGTGCTGGGCAGTGCAGCTGATGTCCTTTGTCTGTCAAACAGCTCCAGGTTGCAGAGTGTACCATGGTGTGGATCTGAATTTGGCTTTTTAATACAGAAATTATGTTTAATTATATTCAGAATAAGATGGTTGTTTTTTGGAAGGTTTATGGTAGTTATGTATATTGGCACTTACCTGACCCTGCTAAAAGTTGTTTTTTGGGTGTTCTTTTTGTCTAGAGCATCAGCGTGCAGATTGATGAAAAAACACTCCACGATATTCTGCATGAAGTAGATCTGAACAAGAACGGGCAGGTGGAGCTCATTGAGTTTTTGCAGGTAAGAATTTCTCTGTTCCAAAGAAGCTGTAACTGGTATAGCTATAGGCACAGGTGTTCAGTCCCCCTCCTCCTCCCAGCAGAAGAGCTGTGCTGGGGAGGAGGTGAGTGCTGTTGATGCTGTTTGCCAGAACACAAGACAGAAATGACACACAGCTAGTTTTAAGCACCTTCCAAATTCAAGGATATTTTCTGTGCAGAAGCAATTAACCCAAAGAACAGGTCAAATTTTCAAAGTATGCCACAGTGCAGATTTGAACTTGGCTTTTTTATACAGAAATTATGTTTAATTATATTCCAAGTAAGATGGTTGTTTGTTTGGAAGATATATTGTAGTTATGCATGCTGACACATACCCTGTTAAAAAAGACTCTAGTGTTCAAAATAGCCTGGAAAATTGTAAAGGAGGAGCTTATGGTCAGAAGACATGTAGTCCATGTTATCCCATTGTAACTCCTGGGTTGAGAAACGATACCTCCATTTCTATTAACATTACATTGGCAACCCAATGTCTGCTTTTTGCAGGGCTTTAAAATAAGAAAATTAAAGGTGCTACTGAGTGTTTGTCCTCCTCTTGCATAAGCAGTTTGCTAACCAGCTTTGTTTTTGTGGAGTCTTTCTTGGTGTGGTATTTCAAGTGAGTGCCATGTCTTTCCTACATGGTGGCAATGATGAATGCTGAACATGAGATAAATTAATGCTGGGGATTTTGGTCAATGTCAGCCCTTTCTTCACTGTGTCAAGTTAAACAAACAAGATCAAGGCAGAGGAAATGGTAATTGTCTCTCCTGAGATGAGCTGTAGATAAGAGGAGCATTGTTGAATCTAAATGCAGAAAATTTTCGCAGGTTGTGTCCAGCATTAGAAAAAAGGACTATTTATTTACCTACCATGCAGCGATTTAGCTGGGTAACTGAAATGTGCATTAGTTGTAAAATGAAATAAAAGCTCCCCAGAGCCATCTGACTGAAATAACTGAAAGAGAAAATCACGGGTGGCTTTCTGACTGTTGAGAAGGGTCTCCCTCTTGTGTCCTTTTGCATGTGAAAACTTCAGGTTGGGGGAAAAAAAACAAAACACTTACTGTAATGGCTTGGGTAGATTGAAAATTGGGTTCACCTGGATACCTTGTGGTTAAGAAGTCAAAGCAGCTAACACAGCTGCTGTGGATTTCTTTAATTTGCTTTGCTCTGGTGAACAGTCTCATGAGGAGTTTCCTCCCCAAACTCTGAAATACAAGTGACAGCTCACTGTTTTGGTGTCATTTCCAAGTTACTTTACTTTAAATTGCATGACTCTGTGGTTACAGGCTTGTCCCAGTGTTTCCCAGTGCTCTCCCAGCACTGCAGTGAGGTTGCATTGCACTTTGCACTTCCTTCACGCAGAGCCAGAGCTGCACACAGGGAGCTGCTGTGCTGCACAGAGCACAGTGGGAAGTGTGGTAATAAGAGGAACAGCAGGTTGCCATGGAAGGAACAAAATACACGTGGTGTTTGTTTAGTTTTTTAATGGATCTGTTAAGCCAGTTCTCAATACTTTTGTGTTTGCTCTCTGAAAACTTTCAAGTAATTACATTGTACTGCCAGAACGCTTGTGGAAAGCTGTGTGCAAATATTTGTGGACGTTTATATTAGAATATAGGAACACATTGTATCAGAGTGGCTGCCTCCCTATCCAGGTGGGAGCAGAGCAATGCCAAGTGGCTGCATTTGACCCGCTGCAGCCTGCCAGCCTGCTGGTTGCCTTGGGAGAGCTGCTCAGCAGTGCCTGCAGGTGTTGCACAGATGGAACGCAGACCCAACTGATCAGTGTTTTATGCAAACAGGTGGTTCTGATTGAAAACTTGAGCCATTTTTGCTTTTATTCACACCTGCTTTTTACTGTTACTGTCCACGTTTCCTCAGGTGGTCCTGCTGGCACAGGCAGCTGTGTGATGGCAGTGATTGCTTCTCTGAAGGCTTGCATGTGAAAGTTCTGTTTTTGTGGTGGTGCCGAAGGGTCAGCCTGCTCCTCCACAGAGTGCCTTTCCCACAGAGCATGCACTATAGTGAGAAAAGCCACAACTGTGGAGCGCGTGGTAGGGCAGAATGAATGGGTGTGATGGCTGCTTCTTGTTGGTGGGGGTCACTGGGGGGAGGGGAGCAGCTGGAGGGATGCTCTGGGCCTCAGCTCCCTGACTGCAGCATCTGCCTTTTCTCGGGGCTGACAGGGTGACCAGAATGCCCCCAGCAGCCTTGGAGGTCCTGCAGCCTTGGCTGGATCTGTCCCTTTCCTTCCCTGGGGAGTCATTCCTGTTTCTCAAATGCAGTACCAACCTATAGAGGTCTGGCTGCAGAAGTAATAGACCTTCCTAGAGAAGGGAAGAAATCTGAAGGATTCCTAGCACTCACTGTGACTCAGAAACTGCTTTCTGTAAGTGCTGGTTGCTTTGCATAGTAGTCTTTGGCAAGCTGACTGTATGTAATTTCAAGTCTAATGCTCACTTTATCCATGGGATAAAGAAGAATTAACTAAAACCTTAGCACTAGCATGTGTTCGTTAAGGTAGTGCTGAGTCCAGTTTCAAGGACTTAAAGGCAAATTAGTTTTAAAAGTCTATAAAATAATTTGGATTTGAAAGAGTTGTGGAAGTCAAGTATGCTGTCTCTGCAGAGAAGGGTTTGTGAATGGGAGGGGTACAACCCAGGGTCAGTGTTGGATCAGCAGTGATGTTCTTCTGTTTGTTACTTCCAGACTGAGAGGGGAATAGAAAAAAAGTGAGGGTGGGGGGAGAGCGTGTGGAGTAGCTGGGTTATCCCACATGGTTAAATGGCACTGAAAAAGCACTGCTGTTAATGGATGCTGCATGGCTGCTACCAAACAGGTCACACTTGTTGGTATTTCTGGAAAATGAAAACGGGCTTTGATGTGAGATTTTTTTTCAGAGCATGCAGCAGTGTTGCTTTATTGGTATCACAGAATCACAGAATGGTCTGGGTTGAAAAGGCCTGCAATGATAACTGAGTTCCAACCCCCTGCTGTGTGCAGGTCGCCAACCAGCAGCCCAGGCTGCCCAGAGCCACATCCAGCCTGGCCTTGAATGCCTGCAGGGATGGGGCATCCACAGCCTCCTTGGGCAACCTGTTCCAGTGCCTCACCACCCTCTGCGTGAAAAACTTCCTCCTCATATCCAACCTAAACCTCCCCTGTCTCACTTCAAAACCATCCCCCCTTGTCCTGATCACCATCCACACTCACAAACAGCCGTTCCCCCTCCTGTTTATCCGCTCCCTTCAAGTACTGGAAGGCCACGGTGAGGTCTCCCCCAGAGCCTTCTCTTCTCCAGTAGACAAATGGTTCTGTCACTGCCACATACCACGTGCCCTTGGACAGACTGACCAGCTGTGTGGAGCTGAGCCCATGCCGTGGGGCTGGGCTGACATCGCCGCTGCTCTGCCAAGGAGCTGGGAGTGCAGCTGGGGCTGTGCCACTCACCTTTGTTTGTGGAAGGGAAGCTGAGGGCTGCTCTCTCTGTTCTTCCAGCTGATGAGTGCCATTCAGAAGGGCTACGTCTCCGGCAGCAGGCTGGCTGTGCTCATGAAGACAGCTGAGGAGAACCTGCGGCAGCGCGCGGTGATCCCGGTGGACCGCAGCGGCGGAGGGCTGTAGCTCAGCACAGCTGCATCTGCTGACAAACATTCCAGTGCTCCCCAATGTCCTTGCTCGTTCAAGGTGACTGATATCTGTAAAAACACGTGGGTGCGTTTGTTTTCTGTACTAATGGTTTTCTGTACAGCTCTTAACACTCCGGTATGTGGCCTTTTGGATTGGGTACGCTTCAGACACATGAGTTTATTAAGAGGGGTTCTGGAATATGGTCTGGAAACACTGGTGCACACACAAGCACATGGGCACTGCCTTGCTCATTAACTTCTAGATCACCTTTACCTTTAAAAAAAAAAAAAAAAGTGATTCCTGCCTTTAAAGAGAGCGTTGCATTGAGATTTGCAAATAGGCATTTAGTATTTAAAAGCTGCTGATCTGACTGCTTCAACAAAGGGCAGCAGAGGGAAGGCTGGTGCCTGGGATTTGAGATAGCTTCACAAAAGGAGCAAAAGTTCACCTTCTGAGGGTACCAGGTACAGTAAGGAGCTGGCTGGTGAGTGACTGCCCTTCCACAGGTGCTGGGCTTTGCTCTCTTGGGGCGTGTATTATTTCAGCAGTACAGTACTTGGCCAGACACAAGTATCAGCAGTACAAAGCTGAAAAACAACACACAACCCATCACTCCAACTAATAACCCAGCGAGCAGCTAGTGGCCAGCTTCCCTTTCTCCACATTAACAACAAGAAGCTTCCTTCAGTCGGCAGCATCCTTTAGCAGGTGGTGTGTTATGCTGTGAAGTGCTCTGTACTGTTTCCAGTTTGGGACAAATATGTAAAATATGATGGTTTTTGATAACAAGTCTTAATTTATTTAAAAACTCAGATTAGATTTCATAGATTTCTTGAGTATAAATACCAGCTGACAAAACAGGACCCTCCGTTCCAAGGGCTCAGGATTTCTCCTTATGTAAAATCTGATCTTTTAACTGATGTCATCACTTTCACTAATGGAAACAGCGCTGTAACAGCCAGCAAAGATTACTTCTGTATCTTAAGGGAAAATGACTGCATGTGCAAAATGGAGGGACTGAGGAGTGTTGGGATGTAGCTGAGTGAGTTGGGTGTTTGGGGCTGGACAGGGGAGAGTGATTTTAAGAATAAATAAAACACAAAGCTTTGAAAAGCAGATCTTTAAAATGAACACAAACCAGTGGGTTTCCGGGTTTCTCTCCAGAAATGCTGTCTCAGATGCTTTCCAAATGGTTTCTGCATGTTGAATTGATGTCGTAGAGCTGCTTTGTACCAGAACTGTGCTGCTGTGGGTTCTGGCCGTTCTGCTGTGAGATTTGTAGCATTGGGCACAGCCCATGGGAGCGGTGAGTGAGTGTTGACAACGTGTTTTATGAATGGCTTCTGTGGTACTGTCAACTTTTTTGAGTGTGTTCCAGTAGTTTCAAGTAAAGTATGTACATATTCCATGCAGCTTTGCTTTTCTAAAACCCTTCTCAAATAAGAACATGGTAAGAGAGTTTACATCACACATAGCACAGCGTGGAGTGGAAGGTCTGGAGGGGGGCAGGGTGGGAGCCCATGGTTCACTGTATTATTTAAACAGATGTATCTGTTAAAGTAGTGAGACCTTTTCCAGACCACGTAAAGAAAAATGTTTAAAATATTTAATAACTGTTGTATGGTTTGAAGAAAAATTCTCCTCCACTCCTCTGTAAATGGAACTGCTAAGAATGAACGCTGCAAGCTTCCCTGTAAAGCCAGGATGTTCTGCTTTGCACCAAGACTTACATCCTTCGCTCCTGGTTTGGTGATGCCACACACAGAATGTGACTTTGGGGTTTCCTTGGCTACACACGTGTCCTCCATAGGAGTCTGCTTTGCATCGTGGGTGCTTTACTGTCTTGGATCTCTGCTCCTGTGTGGCACAGCAGGATCTTGTACAGCTGCCCTGAGTGCAGACGAGGCTGAGTGCTGGTTACAGCACTGTGCCTGCAAACAGGGAAAGCACAGCTGCTTACTGCAGCACCTCGCCTCTGCTTTCAGGAACGTCA